GCATCTTCGGGTCCGTTATCACCACAACGTTGTTGACATCAATCGGCTTCGTTTGTACGAACCACTTGGTACGCCGGGTTATCTCGGGCAAGTAGTTGCTTACCCAACGCTTCCAAAACCGGTTAGTTTGGGCTTGGGACAATCGCCAACTTTGTCGTGTCACTGCTCCGCTGTCATCAATGGTGCTGAGCGGCTTGACTCCATTGGAAGAGCCCAAAAGGAAGTGGTTGGGCGTCAAGGCTGGAGCTGAATCGTCATCGACAGGAACGTGCGTCAGTGGGCGGGAATTCACCGTGTTCTCGATTTCAGTCAGCAGGTTCCGTAAGACCTCGTCCGACAGGCGATGCGGCCGCTCATCCTCAGGATTCCGTTCTGATCCAGCCATGGCGTCTTCTGGTGTAGCGGACTTGATTTGGGGATCGGGGTTCATAGTTGATCCGAGCACTGTTGCGACTTCTGATGGACTGCTATTTCTTCCGGATAGGCTTCCTGTTGTGCTACGCGAATGAGATAGGATTCGGCGGTGAGTATTTCGTAGTTGGTGAGAGGTCCGCTTACGATCGGTTCCTGGAGGCGCTTCAGTTTGCAGTTGGCAGGAAAACGATGAGCTAGAGCAACCACTTTCACAATCCGATTCCAGTCTGAGAAATCGCTTGAACAGACTATCGATGAAGTGAGTTAATACGCTACGGCGAAGTTCGAGAACGGCTTCATTCGAGCCAGTATATGAGTCTGGCCAACCAGTTTCCGGATGCTGCAGGAACTCGGGCCCGGTGAACCATCTCGTCTCTGAAGCCAAGCTAGGAAGTCCTTTCCATTTCGTCCCATCATCTGCTACGTTTAAATCTGTAGGAACGTATCTCCATTCGTTCATCTCCGTGGTGTCCAGGATCTCGCTAACTCGGACCGCGACGAATTGGGAGTATCTTCGGTGGTCAGATTTGATCCAGCAAAGTACGTCTTGGTAATCCGACCAGTAGTGGCGACGAGCTATTCGGAATGACAGTGCATCTGATACGGATTGTGCTAGCCTGGCCCCAACCAATGCTGCTTGAAGTTCCAGTCTAGGTGTTGAGAGAAACTTCAACGGAGCGACTCTGGTCTTAGACGTCTTGAAGTAGCACCTTCAGGTACATGAGGAAATGTGCGATCAGTTTGAGATAGACATAAGAACGCTTAACATTTCTCTCTTCGTTGGATGTCGTTGACCTTTCAATAGCGCTTCTCCATAGCGAGTCCATCCGACCTTGTAGGTAAAGGTATCCGAATCAGTACACCACCACATTCCGAGCACTTTCTCGGTGGCTAGCTCCAGCGACAGCGAGTTGCTTATCCAGTTGCGGATCTCGAATCCAGCTTTCGAGTGCACCTTTTTTACTTGTTGCGCAAGTTGAAGCGCCTCATCTTCCGTCTCAACGCTTACCAGCATATCGTCGACGTAATGCCGCTTCTGGATGACTTCAACTGCTACTGGGTATGCTGCTTTGAATCGTTCCGCGCTAGGGGAACAACGGGCTCCGAAGGTCCTGCAAGATGTAGAACACGATGTTACCTTTCTCGTCATACCAGAAGAACCGCTGGCAGTGCTGGTCTTCCGAGCGCATGAGGACTTGTAAAAACATCTCACGCACATCTCCAGTGAGCGCGATTTTGCCTCCCCGGAACTGGATGAGGATAGTGAGCAGTGCGCAAAGCTGATCAGGACCTTTTAATAGAGCCGAATTTAACGATACTCCATACGCAGAGGCAGCAGCGTCCCATACAATTCGGATTTTTCCCGGTTTATTGATGTTGACAACCGGAAAAGTAGGCAAATACCAGACCCGATGGAATGGTTGCTTCAGCTCCTCATTGGTGAGTCTTCTAGCGTATCCTTTCATGACGAAATCGGTGATTTTCATATTGAGCGCTTCAGCGAGCTTTGGATCTTTGTCCATCCGTGAATGTTTTGAGCCAAATGAACTGTCAAAATCTGAGCCAAACGAACATTCTTATTGAAATTTTTCCGAGGATTTGTTATTCTTACTACATTAAATTTCAGAGTATTGCAATCGAACAGAAATTCAATCACCTTTATGCTTCGTGTACTTCTCAAATTCAACTAGTTTTTTCAATCAAAAACAATATTCTAGCTCTTTTGTTTATTTGATTTTAGTTGGTTAACTAATAGCACCAATAAATGTGCAAAATATTGCAATGCACTCAATTATTATTTTGCACGTAAATCGAATCAAAAGTAAAAGTCATGTGAAATGCTAGCTTCTAGCAAGGGTTGCAAGATAATTTAGGTACAAATCCCTGCTGCCGAATTGTATTTTGTTTTCTCCCATCATTTTGTTTTCGCCCATCTCTCCCTCTGAGTATTTCTAAGTGGCAGGTGCGTAGCCAACATGTTGTACCGTGATGGCGGGCCCAGCACAGCAAAATAAATTATTTGAGCCAGGGACATGCTGCCTACTGTCAAACGGTGCTGCTGCTATAGGCCTTGTCATTGGCCTGATAAATGATTGTCCTCAACATGTCCACAGGATGGTAGAGAATCATGTCCACATGATCATACAATTGGTCGAGCCGTCTGACAGAAGGATACCCCAATAAGTGTGGAGAAAAGCCCGCCCTTTTTCCAAGAGTTGTTAACAACCAGGGAGTTACATAGTTGAAGATGCTAATTTCAAATAAGAGACTAAAGTGGTAATTTTTATACGATAGATGAGGAGATGAAAGTATAGAATTGATAGTTCCGTTAGAGTACGGCAGTGTGAAAATTGCATATAGAGAGTAGAAAGCGAGGAAGGACAACTGCCTATTCTCCCGAAAGTCTCCCATGTTATTTCTGATGTGTTCTACGAAATTTCGACGTCCATTATCTTTGTATGATGATCTTGAGTTTCTAGTTGCGTCTTATAAAACCGTAACACCAATGCAGAAAATGGACAGTGTCTCCGGATATTTTCTTAACGAGCATCACTCCATTGTCGTATCACATGTGCCCCATTTTGCAGCTCTTCTTTCACATTTACTTTGTTGACTCCATGGTACCGGAATGATCTGATATAACCACAACGGGATGGCCGTTCAGAATGGTTCAACGGATGTGAAATGAGGGAACATTTAAATTTAACACGATTTAAAGTATTTCAATGCTACATTACATTTGTTCACTAGCAATTAATACAATTTCAATATTTCTGGAAGAATTTACTTGTGTTTTATACAATTAGTATCAATGTTCCGTCATATCGTATCTTCAAATGATCTTCGCAAGCGGCACATTTAGTTCAGTATTAAGTGTTCGTTATTAAGCGTATTGGACGATAAGAACAGCTGAACATGTTTTTTGGAGTTATTAACGAGTAAGAGATTCGATGACAAATAGTTTCTTTTTAATTCTTTCAAAATACACACAAATCAATACAAATCAAAGACACCATTAACCAAGTTTTTTTGAAAACATCTAGTGACATAATAAAACACCAAACAGAAAAGTACAGTTTCTCACTGCACACTGAACAATCCCAAACAATCACTACGTGCTCAAAGTAAAACACGCTATTTAGCTACGCCTGTTTTGATTTAATTTCAATGGCACAAATTTTCATGACAAGAAGAACAAGTAGGGTAAATTTTCTATAGCAACCAAAAATATCCATTAGTACCGTCCCAATGACGCGTTCATCTAGATAAAATTGATAAATAACAGATTTTTAGCGATGGGCCCGATCTTAGATCCATAGGCCAACATTAGAGCCATTTCCCCTATACAATGAATTCCGTGTGTGCTATCTGCTTCTCCCTCACAGAGATTAATCATATCGAATGATTAAAAAATATATATCTCTTGCTAAAAAATAATCATCTGATATTAAACCCAGTTTAATCAACAATCAATACGAAACTAACGATTTTAAATTGGCTCACTACTTGACTAGCCTATTGGTCCCAAGCAAACGATTAACTTACCCCATTCTAGTAGAAAGTCTAGTACTACACTATGTTTGTTTTGATTCGCTATGAAAGTTTGGCAGATAAAATGAGGGGTTAGTGGATTTTCCCATGTTTCGAGGGGTGAATCGATTAGCTTGGGACCGAAGAGAGTACCAGAGCTGAGCCAAAAAGTTGATCACGTTATTCCGGGCCCTTCTTGTCTTAGAGCTACCTCTATGGTTTAATCATGGTTGATTAAATTGAATTTTATCATATTTGATTCACTAACAGAATTCCACACATTTTTATTGGCTAATTTCTATGTAAAATTCCACATGATTTTCATGTGACCACACATAAACAGAATCCACCCAGAAGCACACAGGAAATTTATGAGTTAAATGAATAGTATGGCTTTTATGTGTACACATATTAAGTATGTGTCCGACACATAGATATCATTTGTTGATCACATTGCAAAAATTCATGTGTGGGACACATAAAACAATCTTTGAAATTTTATCAGTGTTGAATTTAAATCTTTTTTGATTGAATTTTAGTAATTTCTGCTATAATAAAATATAATACTGAAAAGATAAATTGATATTTCAAGTGATTATTTCGAAATTAATCATGCCTGACTACTGCCGGACCCTACACGCTAACTTGAAAGTACTCATTAATGAGTAAAAAAAAGACCCATTTTGAAGAAAAGTGGCTTAACTCATTAATGATTAAAAAATTTTACCCATTAATGAGTATCTGTTGTCGGAGACGAGCCAGCCAACGGCTGAAAGTCTCCTTAATAAAGATATAAAAAAAAGAGTATCTGTTACCCATTAAGGTGAAGCGGGAATTTGCATACTTTTTAATCATTTTTGATTTCATTTTTATTTGAGTGTAGGTTATGTCTTCAACCGGACCACCTGATGATTCGAAATAAACCATCATCATCATCCTCACCGTTTCGTTTTCCATTTCTGACATATCTTTCACCAGTTTCATTTTCCAGATGTCGCTTCTCAACTCAAGTCCCATATTCACCAACACCAACTCAGTCTTGTTTCATCAGCCGGTTCGCGTGGTTCGTTTCTCTACCGCAGCAAACTTGTGGATTGTCTTTTGTGCGTGTGTCTTTGACTACTGAATTCTTTTTTATTTTTTGTCATCTGAGTCGTTTTCTTGGGAAGAATAGTAATTCTACAACCGTGTGTCTTATTGGAGCATTATTTTCGTATCTGCCGAAAGACATAAATAGTGTAAACTCCGATGCCCCGCAACGAATCCGCAGGCAAAATGTCCGCTGCTGCTGGAGGTGTTTCTGTCGATCGTGTCCAACCGGGACGGGTTATGTTCGTCCTCCGGGATGCCCTGGTGGACGACGAGCTGGTCTACCAGATAGCGTCGCAGTGTGGCGAGGTGAAAAATGTGCATCGACCGCCGAACAACCGGCAGCTGGTTTTCGTCCAGTACGAGGATCCAAGGTAAGTGGTCGGGAGAGTCCGTTTTCATTTCCTGTTTAGGGTTTTGTATTTTTGCATATGTCCGCAGAAAGCGACAGGGGAGCATGCATTGAGGGCGTCATGAAATTTAGGGAAAATTAACTTATATTTTCCTATATCTAATGCATTGGCCCATTAGAGTGTGACGTGCTTACTGGGTGCTCCCTTAATAAAGAGAAGCCCGGTTTAGGTGATTTAATTTACTTGAACTACGACATGAACGTTGATGTCGGACTTATTCTATTCGATGTCAAGTCAATGTTGAAACACATGGTTCTCGTGTTTTCTTGTTTTTTTTTTAATCGCTTGTTGCGTACTTCGTTTTGTTTTTGTTTGTGGTTTTGTTTATGTCTGACGTTCGGAATGGAAGAACAATTCGATACCTTCGCACTGTGGGTGTGTTGATGTTGAGTGGTTAAAATTCTGAAGGCATATATTTTCACTGTTTCGGGTTGAAAAAGTAAACGTTCTAAAAATTTATCTTAATTTAATAATTAATCATTTTATTCGAGCACTTAAAATGACGTTTACTACCACTCGAACTTTGAAATAAAACATTATTTTGAGATTTTTTCTTCTAGGACCTCGAGATAAGTAGCCAATATTTGTGCGTTTCATAGAAAAATAGAAATTAGTTGGTCCAGTTTTGTAAAATCGCTGGTAGAATGTCACGCCAAAACTGCTTGACAAAGTGGTCAATTAAATAGATTGTAATCAGAGAAAACTTAACTCGAAGGAGGGTTGAAATTAGGATCCAGATAAAAGTTATCCGTTTTACTGCTGTAGGTACCCAAACAACAAATTAGTCCTCATATTTTATAGCTATTGGATATCGTAAATTTAGCAAAACAGCCAGAGAGCAATAACGAGTCTTAAATTATAGGCGCACATCAATTATATTGATTGCCTGCGCTCCATGGGTTTTCCCGAATGTGTTTCCCCTCAGAATTTTGGGAAAACCGCTACCGCTACCTTGACATAAGATAGGTAGTAAAGGGTCGTTTCGCGTGGAATTTCAGAAGTATTCCATGGTGATATTCGTGCCGAACCTGTGCTTTTGCAGGAGGTTGAGTAGATCGTTTTGTAGTAAAAGGTAACGTTCTCCAGTGTAAAATACTACCATCATTTTTCCAGGCATAAAATATTTGAAAACTACAGTCTACATGAACATTTTAAGGGAATTTATTGATAAGCAACTCCAAGTTCACACTTCTGGGAAACTACCACTCATTTTTGATTATTCTTAGACCGAATTATTTCACGTTTATGATCAGCACGTATGTTTGTGGGAAGTACAATTGTAGAGAGTAATTGAAACACGTCTTTATCGGTTGACGTTGAACAGTGGAATGAAAATTTTATTCAGAAACTTAGCAACTAATAACAAGTGCATATAGCGACGCGAATTACTGCGTTGCTACGATCACAATACTCCTCCCTAATCCGCGACGCCAGTTAGCTTCCGAAACTTCTGCTGCTTCTGAACGGTCATCGGCTTCGTGAACCCATCGGCTGGCTGTTCCGTTGTCGACGTGTAGCTCAGTTGGACGACACCATGCTGCAGGCTATCATGCACGAAATGGTACCGTATACTGACGTGCTTGGTCCGGGGGTTATACGAACCGTTGTTGGCGATGCTGATTGCCGATTGATAATCGCAGCACACGGAAATCGGTTTGGCCTCGCAAAACTGCGATTGCAGATTACTCCACCACATAGCTTCCTGGATCGTGCGAGACATGGCCATGTATTCCGCTTCACAGGACGAAAGGGCTACGGTAGGCTGCTTTTGACGTTCCACGAGATCGCACCTCCCTGCATCATGAACACATAACCGGTTGTGGATTTCTGGTCGTCCGCATCTCCTCCCCAATCGGCATCGCTGTACCCAACTATGTCCGCTGGACCGCTTGTCGAGTACTCTAGCTTCTTGGTTATTGTACCTTTCAGGTACCGGATTATCCTCTTCACCGCTTCCCAGTGAGGACGGCCAGGGTTGGCACTGTACTGGCTCACAACGTTGACGGCAAAAGCAATATCCGGTCGGGTGACTTGAGCTGCAAACGACAAACACCCGACTGCTTCCTTGTATGGCACTGACTTCATTTCTTCCATTTCAGATTTCGTCTTCGGTGCCATCGACTTGTCCAACTTGATGCTTGGATCTGCTGGTGTTGCAACTGGGTGGGCATCGGCCATACCGAAGCGATTGACGATGTATTCGATGTAGGCTTGTTGATCCAACCACAGCTTGCCTTCTTCACGCTTCCTCGTGATTCTGATGCCAAGACATTGTTGCGCCTCCCCGAGGTCTTTCATTTGGAACCGCTTGTGCAGATGGGCCTTCAGCTTCTTCTTTTGCTTCCGATCGTTTGTGAAAATCAAGAGATCGTCGACGTAGATAGTCACAAACATCATCTTTCCTCCACGGATGCACCAGTACAAACAGGGATCCACGCTCGACCGTTTCAGTCCGAACTCCTGCAGCACCACATCCAACTGCGCGTTCCATACGCGGCAGGACTGCTTGAGACCGTAGAGGGCCTTCTTCAGTCTGCACACCTTTCCATTCGACGCATCGAACCCTTCTGGCTGGAGCATGTAGATCTCCTCGTCCTTCAGCTCGCTCTGCAGGAATGCAGTGACCGCGTCCATTTGGTCAATATCCAAGTTGTACCGCACCGCCAGTGCCATCAGATACCGGACGGTCGCGTACCGCACGACCGGGGAGTACACCTCGTCGTAGTCCAGACCAGGTCGTTGAGAACAGCCCTTCACCACGAGGCGGGCCTTGTACCTCTGGATGGTTCCGTCGAGACCTCGCTTCGTTCGGTACACCCACTTGTTCCGAATCGCTTTCCGCCCTTCAGGCAGATCGGTGAGCACCCACGTGCTATTCTCGCTGAGGGATGCAATTTCCTCACGCATAGCCGCAATCCAATGATCTCGGTCCGGCCGCCGCAGAACCTCATCGTAGCTCGTCGGATCATGCATCGTATCATCGTCGCTCGTCGTGTTGAAGGATAACTGAGGGTAATGAACACCACCAGAAAAGGAACCGTAACTAATAAAGTCATTATACTTGCCTGGATTATGGCGCTCCCGACCGCTGCGCCTTAACCCTTGCTGCAACTCAGCTGGTCTAATCAGTTGCGGTGGGAGCGCAAAATCGGCACAGGCATCCTCGAATTCGTCTGCCTCACTGGACGAACTGTCGACAACGACGATGTCTTCCTCCGTTGTTTCGGTTTCACCAGGATTACCACCCGGTTGATCGATAACAACAGCAGGCCCGGCTGCACCAGGTACGACGATGCCATTCGGTTGTTCGCCTAGAGGAAGCACAGCGTGTTGACCATCTTATCAGGAGTATCAGCTGCACCGGACTCAGGACGATCATGGATTTCATCCGAACAAAGCTCCATGAACTCCACCGGCTGCACTCGTTGTTCTGCCATACAGATAGCGACGCCTTCTTCCAGTACCATGACATCTCGGCTAACGTGGAAACGGTCATTCTCTGGATCATACACCCGGTAACCTTTCGTGTCTTCACAATAGCCGACGAAAATGCCTTTCTCGGATTTGGGATCAAACTTCTTCCTTTTCGCTTTCGGTACCAGAGTCATCACGCTCGAGCCAAAAATCTTGAGGTGCTTCAAATTCGGCTTCTTTCCGGTCCACGCCTCTTCCGGCGTTTTCTCTTCCAGGGAACGAGTAGGACATCGATTCACCACGTGAGCCGCGGTCGAAATAGCTTCTGCCTAAAACTCTTTTCCCAGCTTCGCATCGTTGAGCATGCACCGCGCCTTTTCAACCAGCGTGCGGTTCATGCGCTCTGCCGCCCCGTTCTGCTCAGGCGTATACGGGCACGTGGTTTGATGTCGAATCCCATCGGACTCCAACACCTTCCGGAAATCTGCATTCACGTACTCCTTTCCGTTGTCTGAACGCAAGATTTTTAGCTTCTTGCCCGTCTGTCTTTCCGCTTTGGCCTTGAACGACTTGAACGCTTCGAGTGCTTGATTTTTCTGCTTCAAGAAGTAAACCACCACCCGCTTGCTTGCATCGTCCAGGAACGTCATGAAATAACGGCTTCCACCCAACGACGAAATCTCCACTGGTCCGCAGAGGTCGGAGTGTACCAACTCCAACAGTTCTTCAGCGCTTGACTCGCTGCTTGGGAATGAACGCCTCGTATGCTTGCCCTCCAGACAGGCAACACATCCTTCTAACGACCCATCTTGGAAATCTATTCCGTTGGCGATTCGCTTGAGCTTCTTCAAACCACCTTCGTGAAGATGCCCCAGACGTCGATGCCAGAGCTCCATGCCGCTTGCCAAAAACGACTTCTCTGGCCAATTGATTGGCCAACCAGATCACCGTCTTCGTCCCGAACTTCGCATCTGTCTTTGGTGAAAATAACAGTTTTGCCCTTTTTGCAGATCGTACTTACGGATAACAAGTTGGTGGCTAGGTCGGGAATCTTCAGAACACCGCTGACATCGATTCGACCATCGTTGCTGTCCAACACGACTGAACCCTTCGCTACGACCTTCATAGTGGCATTGTTCGCCGTTCCGACGTTGTGGTCCATCTTGACTTCATCGAGAAATTTCTGATCCGGCCGTGTCATGTGGCAAGTGGCACCCGAATCGAAATACCATTCACTGGTGCTGACGTCTCCCATGGCAAAAATGGAACAGAGACCCTTGTGTTTGCTCGCCTTCGCTTGCTGCTGCTTCTCCGGACACTTGGCAGCAAAATGACCCGGCTTCTTGCAGGTGTAACATAACTTTTCGCCTTTGCTACCGTCCTTGGATTCGCTTGGCTTCTTCCGGTTCGCTTTACTGTACAGGGCACCTTCCGCGCCGCTGCTGACCGGACCACGATCCAGCTTAACGTCCTGTAGAATTTTGGATTTCACTGCATCCGCTGTCAAAGCCGCTCCAGAGGCTTCGAGTCCCATTATCATGGACTCG